TTAGACTGTAGGCGCTTTGCCATTGAAAGTATACAAAACATTTTGTAAATTAACAGATATTCATGTACCATTATTAAAAATTAGGCTTTTTAGTTACCTACAAATGGATGTACGATATTTGTTCGAGAGTAATCAGTACATGGTTTAGTTTATGTGTGTTTCGGGTAAGATCGTTACAATATAACAACAAAATTGCGGTTTCTGACCACCACTTCTGTGTACACACGCCCACACTGTTAACTATCCATTTCCGTTTTTGCTCTCGCTCTAATCAAATGGCGATTCTTTGCGATAGAACGAGATGACATGACTTTCAATGGGCAGTTAACACTGTTGGCGATAGTACATATCAATATACGTAGATGTATTAAAACTTTTTTGCTATTTAGAACCCTAATATTGCATAGTGTCTTGCCAATTGCTAATTGTAAAGGTGTCTTTAAAGTCTTCAGTTTAGAGTACATTTTACATTGAGTATTCCACTTACTTGGGCTGCTGCGATTGCGCTGTGGTGGTGCTAGGCGAGCTGGTGTCGTTTTTAGCTCGCCAATTTGTATCAGTAGTTGTCTGAAATATAAATAAATTATAAAACATTACTAGCTTTTTACTTAAGTTGGGTTAGTTGAAAATATAATATATTTTGTGTATTGAAATAATTTAGAAAAGTAATTTATAGATCGTTTCATCCACGAAAACGCGCCCCACCATTCTTCCGCTAATGTTTGAGTGTTATCGGTACACGCTAAATCATCCATGAGTGCACACGCACACTACAATAATGCCGCTCGGATTGCTCGGATCAAACTCCCCGCGCCCCGTGTTTCCCTCGCCCAAAAGAAGAACGGTCACGCCCCATACAAAAAAAACCCAGACCCGACAGAAATGAGACATACCTCAGTTTTTTTGTCATGTCTTAATTAGTAAAATTATATACTTTTTATATTCGAAATATATGTATAACACCAAAATATTACCCTTTGTTTTTGTTCAGGCGTTATACAAAAACTAATACAAAATGCCTATTTATCGCCAAAATTGGTAAATGTATGTACCTAAATGTCTATTACAGCTGCTATGGAATGTATCTAGGTAACCTGGNCTTTTTATATTCGAAATATATGTATAACACCAAAATATTACCCTTTGTTTTTGTTCAGGCGTTATACAAAAACTAATACAAAATGCCTATTTATCGCCAAAATTGGTAAATGTATGTACCTAAATGTCTATTACAGCTGCTATGGAATGTATCTAGGTAACCTGGACATATAGCCGGATTATACAGGGTGGTTATACATATGGAACGATAAGTGATCACACTCGATTATTTCTAAACTATACAAGATATCGAAAAACTAGTTACTGATTCTGAAAGTGCTTCACGAGCTCTTTCAAATGGTACCAATAATAGGTTACAGATTATGGAAGCTGGTAACATTGAATTTTTGGATTTTGTAACTTCTCGTTTCCACCCTGTATAATCCGGCTGTATCTCCAGGTCACCTAGATACATTCCATAGCAGCTGTATTAGACATTTAGGTACATGCATTTACCAATTTTGGTGATAAATAGGCATTTTGTATTAGTTTTTGTATAACGCTTGAACAAAAACAAAGGGTAATATGTTGGTGTTATACATAGATTTCGAGTATAAAAAATATATAATTTAACTAATTAAGACATAACAAAAAAACTAAGGTATGTCTCGTTTCTGTCGGGTCTGGGTCACAGATGACCGTTCTTCTTTGGGCGCGCCTTCGTGGATGAAACGACGATCTATAGTAGTGAAGCGTCAACAGTAATTTTGTTTGCAAAAAACGTTGTAAGCAACGTAATGTGTTATCAAATGTTTTAGTATCTTACCTTATTACTCTTCTTCTTAGATGAATCTTCATCTTCGCTAATTTTTAATAAAGTCCTAAGCAAATTCGTGCCATTATCCTGTACAGAAAATTATAATAAATAAATTCGATAAGTAATCAAATTATAGTCTAGTTTATAATTTAAGTCGCTCAAAATATCTGCATTATTGTTACATAGACAATTATTGGGATTACATTTGGGCTAGTAAGTACCATAGAAAGTCAAAGCTGAAAGGTACAGTGCCACAGTTCCAGCTACCCATTTCCGTTTTTTCTCCCACTCTCATCAAATGGCGATACTTTGCGATAGAACGAGACGACATGACCAGAAATGGGTAGCTGGAAGTATGGCCCATAGTACATTCAAATTTTCTGCGCAAGAGGTGTTGTACTTCCTCAAACAAATGCAAGTACGAGACATGTCCTACGGTGTAAATATACCTTTAGCACCGTTTCACTGTTAAATAATCACATGCAAATAACTAATAGCAACCTGTATTACAGGTTTACTAAATACCTAGCATAGGCATCAGACTCACACAAGAATGAACATCAAACGTATCTTATACATTCACTATGTAACTCTGTTCGATATTTGTGTGAGTAAAATAAAGATTTATTTATTTATATTTAAATATGTTTTGTAAAAGTTACCAGTGGTGGTGGCACATTATTAAAGGTGTGGGCATCTTGTAACGACTTGTTCTCTGCCTTTTCTGGGGTTGGAGGGCTGAAACAATAAAACACGCTGTATTATACTGTCGGGTCGAACCAATAACAATAAAAAGATCAAGCAGTTTAGATTGATATGCTATCATCCGTAAATTAGCACATTCAGAATTTACTTGAAAAATCGCACTAGCATTCCTCGAATTTCCAATCGATATTCCGACGCCTACGCTTATTGTCGGTACGGAGTTGAAACGGTAGTGTAGGCAAGCTTCCCACTTGGTGAACCGATAACGTGACGACTGGATGCAGGAAACGCAGGGCTGGCCTTTGTGGAAATTATTGGGGGAGGCCTTTGTGACGTCTTGCTGAAACAATATGCCATCATTACCTATAGCTAGCGAACGCGGATTGATCCCTACGAAGTAGCGTGGGCGGTTATTAAACTTTTGTTTTGTCCTGTCATCCGCTTTGCACTGGTAGGAAGTCGAACCAACTTCGAACTCCTCCTATATTCTTCTGATTAATTTCGTTGCGGGTCCAATGACAGTTCAACTTTCCCCCGGGACAAACTTGACCTTCGCTGGTTGGGTTTTATTGGCTATACAGGAGTTGCAGCGGTGGGAACGAGAGGTGGAAATAGTCACGGGACTATTGATATACGGATGTGCCATCATTACCTATAGCTAGCGAACGCGGAGTGGTGACCGTCTGTCCGTCCGTCTTCCCTTCGGAGTAGCGTGGGCGGTTGCGTGATGTGGTAGGATGGTGACGGCGGCGCGGCCGTGACCACGGAGTTGCGAAGCTTGCGACCCTATGACTAGTCTGCGTCTCTATGTGCCATGATCGTTACTTATAACGGAACTTATGCCACCTCTTGTTTGCACCACTGCAACTCCTGTGTAGCCAGGATTTACAGCTTGACCTCCAATAGAAACCCACCCAGTGAAGGTCAAGTTTGACCCGGGGTAAAGTAAAATTGTCATCATTACCTATAGCTAGCGAACGCGGAGTGGTGTCCGTCTTCTCTCCAAAGTAGCGTGGGCGGCTGCATGATTTGGTAGGAAGGTGACGGCGGCGCGACCGCAACCACAGAGTAGCACAGCTTGCGCCCGTATGAGTCTGCATCTCTACGAACCGATCGAACTAACTGCGCACCTCGCTGGAATGCGACTCCGTACCAGAGCGTCGATGTGACGTCACAGCTGCCAGGTACGCAGTTAACTCGGCCAGCAGGCCTAAGATGCGCGCCGTGATAACTTTTATCGACGTCAAAATGTGCGGGCAAAATCGATAAAATGGCGTGATAACCGCTTATCGCGGCGTGCATCTTAGGCCTACAGGTATTATGTGCTATCATTACCTATAGCTAGCGAACGCGGAGTGGTGTCCGTCTTCCCTGCGAAGTAGCGTGGGCGGTTGCGTGATGTGGTAGGAAGGTGACGGCGGCGCGACCGCAACCACAAACTTACTCTTCCTCTGCGTCTCTATGTGCCATGATCGTTACCTATATTGGAACTTATGCCACCTCTCGTTCGCACCGCTGCAACTCCTGTGTAGCTAGGCTAGGATCTAGAGCTTAACCGCGAATAAAAACCCATTTGCTTCGGAGCAAAGTTTAATTGTTATTGTTACCTATAGCTAGCGAACGCGGAGTGGTGTCCATCTTCCCTGATTGTGATTGATTGTGACTTATAATGGGACTTATCTTACCACACTTTCCCACCACTGCAATCCCTGTATTTTTTACCTATAGCTAGCGAACGCGGAGTGGTGTCCATCTTCC